GAGTAGGAAGAAGGATGGTGGGGTGTTGATGAGTGGGGGGAAGTTGCCTGAGGGTGTGGTTGTGGATGTTGAGGCGTGGGAGAAGGAGGTTGGGGATGGGCAGAGGGGGAAGAAGGGTGGAAGGGGGGGTAGGGGAGGAGGAAGAGGTGGTGCAAGAGGTGGTGGTGGTGGTGGTGGTGGTGGTGGTGGGAAGGAAAGGAAGGTAGATGACGCTGGGGATGCGAATGCTGGTGCTTGAATGTGATGAAAATTGCGGAGGAGTCGAAGGGAGGGACCCATTGTAAGGCCGATGATGACCAAACGACAGATCACAGCCTGGTTGTCGTATGTGCTGGGAATCAGAAGCCACATATTGCTTACCCACTCTAATTCGGGTTGCAAAGTAGCTATCGGCAACATATCTTTGTAGCGGCCAGGCAAACATTTCACCCAAAAAGTAGTACCACAGATTTGAATATTGAATCGTGATGTATTGAATCGGGATGTAATCATCGACCGTAGACGAAATTATGAAAAGTATGCAAAGGTATATAACAGAATGCCGCCCATGTACTCATGATTGAACGCCGACCGACCCATGACAAAGGAAAAAAGTATAAACACGAGAAGGGTTAAAAAATTAGAACTTAAAAGCGTCTTTGCGCTGTAAACTTTTTGAACGTGTACTCAGATCCACTGATGATTTTGCTTCTCCACGTCGACATTTGTATCGGCGGGAGGGGTTGTTTGTTGCATGGCGAAGTAGTCGCGAGCGACAACACCCTCGCTTCTTAGCAGAGGGCTGCTGGGACGCGTTGTGCTGACGTGGTGAGGTGGTTGCAGGCCAGGGGAGTGGACGTGCTCGGGCTCTGTGACGATGGCGTAAGCACCACCACCCGTCTCGACGCGATCCATTGGTGAAACACCATCGTCGTGGTCGTCGCCTTCGTCTATGCTGCCACGTGTACCGATGGTGCGCACCGTCATGCGTCGACCGAGACCACATTCTGGGCTGGTTTGTTCTTCCTCAAGGCGGATGACGACCTCGACAGCCTTTTCGTCTTCGATGACCTTGGGATGACGCTTGGCGAAGTAGCGGGCGTACTTGTAGAGTGACCAGTAGCAGCTGGCGACGTTGATGACAGTCAAGACCATCTTGTACGGTAGGTAGTACACGTACATGAGCACCCAGCCAACGCGCTCGCCCTTGCGGCGGAGATGGACTTCGTTGAAGAGGACGCTGTTGATGAGGTACATGACGACGGTGGCGGCGAGGAGATAACCGCAGAACGAGGGGCGGACGTAGAACGAGATTGGTAGGATGAAGGGTGTGAGGAGGTAGAGCAGAGTTTCGTAGACCTGGTGAGACTGTTAGAATTTGATGAGTGAGAAATGAATTGTGAGTGACTAACCTCTTGGAAGACGAAGATCTTTGCGCCAATCTCCCACCAGCCGAGCTTCCAGCTACCGAAGATATAGGCCATATTGTAGTACATTCCGTTGACGAAGAAGAAGTTCCATCGCTTGAAGCGTTGCGAGAAGATGGTCATCTCGCCGAAACCACCACGAGAGCCACCGCCAGAGATGAAGACAGCGGTAGGTGTTTCGGTTTCGACGAATACCTGCGAGCACATCTTGATGCGACATCCGAGTTTGCGGGCAACGTGACCGAAGAACCAATCTTCAGAGACACTGAAACCGGGGTGTTCGTGGAAAGTCTTGACGAGGAGTTCGCGGTCCCAAAGGGAGATGGCACCGTGGGGGAAGGTGGCAGAACCAATCTTACCAGCAAACTCGCGCTGGATACCACTGAGCTTGTATTCGAGATCCTGGGCTTGTTGGCAAAGGTTGCCCTTTGACCCGTTAGGTCCGACGGATTTGATGGTGTAGCCAATGCACTGGACCTTGCCAACTAGACGTTCAGTGACAACCGGGAAGTTATCGGGCAGTGCGCAGTCGTCGTCGATGAGCAATACGTTCTTGAAAGCCTTTGCAGCGTAGCAACCGACGAACTGAGCGACAATCTTTGATCCGATGGGCGACCAGATGTGGTTCACGCCGTATGGGCGGCACACTTCTTCCGTGTTGTCGAGAGGTGTAGGGCTGTTACCGTTGGCGATGACAAAGATATGCGATGGAGGGAAGATCTTCAAAGCGGCCTCGAGTGTGTTGGCGATGAGTCCAGCAGACTTGTAGCAAGGGATCATAAGGCAGGTGTCGGAAACATTGGACTGGATCTTGGTCTCTGTGGTGTAGTCGGCAGGGGGCGGGTCCTTCTCGAAGAGGATGAGCAGAGGAGCGAATGCGTAGCTAGGGTATATTAGTCAAAGAAGAGGTAGCGATGCAACTGTGTCAACTCACAATAGCGCTATTCCAAGCACGATACCGAAACCACCAGCGATGACAAACTTTGTGGCCACGACCCAGTAGAGCCACCACACAGCACCCTTCCAGAGCGGAATTCCGATAAGAACAAAGTAGACGAAGAGTATCAGGAAGAGGTAGATGGCGTACTCGAAGGTGTACTGCACCCACTTCTTTCGCTGAATCTCTTGCCCCTTTTGCTTCGCCTTTTCGTAAGTACCAAACATCTCACTCCTCTTGAAGTAAGATGCATTGGTCATCTTCCGCTGGAGAGCGTTGGGGACCATGGCATCAACAACGGACTCTAGAGTCCCTTTCCGGGGCCGACCACCCTGGTGTGCAGCTTCAGGTTCCTGAGGCAAGGAGGCTGTTGAATTCCGGTAAGAGTTGTTCTGTGTTGCGAAAGGATTGTCTTTGATCGAGTTGGGCCTGGTCGCGAAAGGGTCCTCATTCGACCACTTTGACGACGCAGTCGTAGTCCTGTTGAGAGAGTTGGGCGATGGTGCACGACTGCCCCGAGGACTGAGAGCTAGAACGTCGGTTGACCCGGGGATGTAAGAAAGGGTCCTGAAGGGTCTGATGTTTTCCTCTGTTGGTGATGGTAGTACCCCGCTTTGCTGCGACATTCTTTTGGGACCAGTGTTACTGAACCAAGAGAATCGATTACTCCTCCTGCGTTCGCCCTGCGTCTCTGTGCGTTCGAGATTGGTAGAGCGTTGGGTGCCATTTCGGTGTAAGCCTGAGTCCTGAGTTGGTCGACGACGTATGCTTCCTATGCCGTTGGGATCGAGGAAAGGGTTCTCTGCTTGAGGCTCCCATGTTCCATGTGAGGTATACGTCTTGTCGCGTTTGGATCCAAGGTTACCAGTGGCCCGAAGTAGATGCGCAGGGACAGTGACATCCTGTACGATCTCACTGGACTTTCGTCCATGTGCGTAAGTCATGTCTGCCAATTGATGTTCTGCAGGAGTATCGGAAGGAAGGCCGGAAGGAAGACCGGATGGAGAGGTCATGTTGTATTAAGGATGACCAAGATGAAGGTCCCGGGGTAGTTGTGTCTGTGAAATAACGGACGGGGGTACCCCATTAATACTCGGGAGCCATCTCCAGACCTTGTACGATGTCCAACCTCTAGTCGGGTAGTCGGACAGCCACATCGGGCGATCCGACTATGAAATCTCCTCCTATGTGCTATTACCGATCCACATGGTAGGTGTGGGTACAACCCGGCGTCGATCACCATGGAGGGCGGCATGCACGTGTTGGAGGCATGTTGAATGATGCGCCACAAATGCGGTTGACAGTGACGTTTAGAGCGAGGGCTAGATCTGGAAAGTTTCCACGCCACTGAATCGCAACGGAGCCTTACTAGTTCCCGTCTACTTCTACTCCAAGTAGCTCCAGATGGATTTGCGTTTCTGATGACCCTGTTCGGAGCACGGGGTTTGACGCCTCAGGCCGTGGATCTGTGGTCGTATTGCATCACTATATCGTTTGGCCATGTGAGTTTGACGTGTCTTCGAAGGCCATTTTCCGATGTATGATGGAAGGCAAGGAACCCACATTCGTATAAGCGTGGCCAAAGAAATGACCTTCCAGTACCATTAGGTGGGTTGTAGCATAACCCCTGCAAGTCTCGCCCACGTACCTGTCCATGGACAGAGCAGCTGAAAAGATGGATTCTGACAGCATCGCCGACATGGATAGGGCCCGTGCACTGCCACTGTCTGAGCTAAAACAGTGGGCGCCGTGAATTGGAACGGGTACTAAACGACCTCTTCGGGGTTGACAAGTAGTTCGAGGCGTAGACTGAGGCTGTGGCCAAGAAGTGCCGTCTGGACATGACTCCGAATCTTACTGTGCAGTAGGTCATCTTAGATCGATGGAAGAAAGAGTTTGCATCTCGATACCGGTGCTGCGCGCAATGATATCATAGTCGTTGCGCTGTGGAAGTCGTGTTCGACTTCTACGCCTCGGTCCTTGGCCGTACACATGCATCCTGAACCCGTCCGGAAGCAGCGCCCGAGAAGATTTTCATCTCGCACTCGTAAACACGGTGGACTGGGCCTTCTACTTCCACGGCATCATCCGTGCTGCTGACAACGCAGGCCCCTGCGTTGCAGCCTCGGAGAAAGCTTCACCGCGCTTGCGCAGGTACTCAGGGTAATTGTCGTGTTGTTGAGGCCGAGGACGAAGTAGGCAAGGTGACATGGGAGCCTTGCAGAGAGAGTTCAAGGGTGCTTTGCTATTACGCAACTTTGCAGGGCATCCCGCTGGAAGTCGGCGTTTCTTTTGAACGGTTGGCGCTACTATAGTCTAACATGTCAGTGCCGTTCGGGTACCACAACCTGGGAGGCTTCGAGGCTCACGTTGTGGCGATGCCAAATCATTGTCGCGGGGTCGCAATTTACCCGGCTGTTCAGTTGCCAGGAGTTCGTGATCGGGAATCACCAAGAGATGTACGAGTGAGTGTTGCTGACAACTCGACGATGAGGTCCAAATTGCAGAACGCCGTTCCCGCCCGGGCCGCTGCCAAGGCCGGATGTCATTCGTTACGTCAGGCCCGCAGTACGAGAGAAGCCTTTGCTGGACGTTTGACCATCCGTTAAGAATAGCCAACTTCAACCCTTGATCCCACCCCACCAATACAACACGAGATGAGTTCCTACGTGTCCCAATACCCGCCGGCTGTTGAGTTCGACCCTGCATACAAGAAATTCTTCGAGGACTTCTACGCTACGTCCGATGCAGCCGAAGCGCATGAGGAATACGTCCAGTACTTCACTAAGGATGCAACCCTCGTCATGGTCTCCAAGAGGGTAGTAGGCCGGGAAGGTGTGTCGCATTGCTTTTTGTTTCCAGCCTTGCGAACGGCTCCCTGGAATTCCATCGCCCTTCCATAATCTACCGGGCTAATTCATGGGCGTAGAGATCTTAGCCCTGCGCAAAAGTATGTGGGAGAAAGTTTCAACGAGAACGCACAAGCCACTCCAAGTGTTTCCGTTCGGTCCGAAGTCAGACGAGGTCATGTTGTACGGGACGGTCAAGTACGGCTTCAAGGCAGGCGGAGAAGCCAGCAAAGATTGGGCTGCAAGGGCGCACCTAGTCAAGGAGGACGGTGGCAAGGTGAAGATGAACTTCTATCAAGTCTACCTGGTGCGACACTCACCTCCTGTTCGCGTTCGTATATGTGGACTTGAAGCTAACCACGATGCTCAGGATACCGGAGCTTAGGATACCGGAGCTTAGACCATGCAGGTAGATCTTATGTAGATCTATGATCGATTATAGGGGCTTTTCCGGCGCATGCAGTGTTTAAAACAACCGGCATACCGAGGTGACATTCACCGGTGTACTGTGAGCACTACTTCAGTGCTTACTTTGGTACGCTTTCAAACGAAGCGGTTTTCAGGAAAGGCCTCATATTCGGATCGGGCGGCGCAAGTACCGGGTCCACTTCACTCTGAAACACGCGCTGCGGAACCCCTCCGAACTATACAAAATTGTAAAGTGAACTGGAGATTAACGCATGGGGCTCTTCTTTACTATGCGGATGTGAGGGCCGCCATCGAGTAGACGATGTATCCCGGTCAGTCACTTGGTTGTCATAAAACCTTACGATTCACGTTGTCGTACAACCCAACAGTCCAGATGCGAAGGTTCTAGATGACCTGTAGGTATCCCAGCACCGCCTCATCTCAAAAATATCATGCAAATTATTCGAGCGCTGCGATGAATCAGGGTCCTGCAGGGCCAAGTGTTGCTTTTTCCAACGTGGTGTTGCCCTGAACGTATTTCAGTTACACGTACATTGGTACTGCCCCTGGAACTACTGTTACGGAACATAAGAATTGCTTTTTCGCGTTCATGTCCGTTTCCAAGGCCCTGGATTTTCTCTACGACCTAAGGACCGACCTCAGCCACAAGTACGTCAGCATGGGTGGAAATAGTTTGGTACTGCCGCAGTCTCGGCATGGCAACGCCACTCTGGGCGCAATGCTACGAACGTGGCCCAGATGCATCTAATGGATGGAGTCTTATGTACGAGTGCCGCGTAACGTTCTTCCAGAAGCCAGTCGGAGCCATAAGCAAAGCAGATGGGGCACCTCGTATGGTGCACCTACGCCTCGTATCATCTGCAGCCGGCATACATGCTGGACCTAGACGTGTCTGCAACGACAGGTTTCGCGGCCTCCGCAGCGTCGCCGAAGTCAGAATACCCCTCAATCGCAGCATACTCAAATACAACTCTCGTCCGGTGATGCGACCAGGCCAGGCTCCTTAGCTTTGCTGCTGGATGATGGATGTGGCATTGTGAAGCTGCTTGGTATCATCCAGTCTCGACTTACGCCGCAGGCAAGCAGATGAATCGCAGATGCTCGCGTCACTTTCGCCGTATGATACCCCTGCTCGTAGTCGTATTTGCATTCGTGTTGTGTGTTTGCTGACGGGTCGGCCGAAGACGACATCATTGATCTTGTTCTGTGGCTCCGAGGATGTCGCTAAGAATTTCGGGCATCTCGGGCCATAGTTCACCCACCAGCAAGTTTGTTGTCACCAAGCAACGGAACATGATGTAATTGATGACTAGAAGGTTTGAGGTAAGAAAGGGGTGAAGCGCATCCATTTACAATCGTCTTTGTCAGAATCTGACCATGGAGTGCGGAGTTGCAAGAATGTAAAGTTCGTGGGGCGGGGAAATTGAAAAGTCAAAATTCGCGGACGCAGGCGGCTCCCAGCACAACGCCCCGCATTTGCAAATACACAATCAGCGTTAGATTTGCAACAGCGTAACTTGTGTGCACCTGAGATGTTGTACGATCAAATTTCGAATGTCTCCATCAAGAGGCTACAAACCAGCCCGGCTAGCTCAATCGGTAGAGCGTGAGACTCTTAGTCTTTCACGGTCTAACAGACACGATTACTCAGTACATCTCAAGGTTGTGGGTTCGACCCCCACGTCGGGCTTGAGAAGCTTTCCTTTTGCTCCTGGCGCTGTAGGTACCAGAATGGTGGTCGTGATGTGGAGGGAGTAGACATGACAACTTTTTTGAGCAGTGCCCCACCGTCCGGCACACCACCACTCAAAATCATCACCAGACACACAATCTTTCTGCTATTAGCCCCTTTATCATGATCTCGTAGTCCAAGAATGTCCCACAACATTATTGTCTATATGCACACTGAGTTGTTGGCCTAAATCCTTTCTCCTCACAAGTTGCACACACTATAGCTACCTAGGCGAAGTCCGCCATACAGAGCTTTGTATGTAAGAGCAACCTGAAACAGATATGTCCTAGAAGACTACATTAACATGAAATTTTACAAACGATGGCTTTGACATCTATGTAGACGGCAGCGTACCTATTGAGTCTTTTCTACGATGTAAGAGCAAGCTACGTCGTACGCAAGTCACCTGGAAACACCCGCAGCAAAGAACAACAGCTTCGAGTTCACGATCAGGATTTTGATGATACAATAGATTTGGTGTCAAAGATCCGTCCGCCAAACAAAAGAATACGACCATGATAAAAGATAAATCCCCGTAGCATCCTATGTCACACACTGACCAGACTCAGTAACCTGACCCAACCCACCACATCCATCAACAATGCAATCGCATTAACCTTAAACAAACCATCCAAGCATACAAACTACCTAAACCTCTTACCACCCTCACCACCACCATCTCCCCCCTCTTGACTCATACAACTACTATCGTCCTTCTCCCCCGTCAAAACAGGAATCGTCAACATCTCGCCCGCAAGAATCAAATTCGGGTCCTGGATGTTATTCGCCTTGACAATGTCGCATATTCCGACTGCGTTCTCGGCTGCGATCTTCTCTAGTGTGTCGCCGGCGGCTATGGTGATTTGTTTGCCGCTGCCGGAGCTGGGGTCTGGAGATTGCGAGGGTGTGGGGGCTGAAGCTGAGGCGGGAGGCGAGGCGCTTGGTGGAGATGGAGATGCAGCTGGTGGTGGTGATGCTGCCGGTGGTGGTGATACGTAGGTGGAGGCGGCTGGTGGTGACGCAGCTGGTGGTGACGCGGACGATGCTAGTGGAGGCACAGCTGGTGGAGCAACAGAGGCAGAAGCAGATACAGAGGTTACCAGTGTCGTTGGTGCTGGGGCAGGAGGAGCGCCGGATACACTGCTGCTATGTTCGCAGCGGCCATGCCTGCGATGGATATGTGGGTGGACTGCAGCGGCTGTGCTCGACAACACGAGGGTTGAGAGCGCGAGAAGGATTGCTGAGATCTTCATGGTTGCTGGTATCGCGGTGCTGACTGAGGTTTGTAGGATGTTTCGAGGTGTAGTATATAGATTGTATGTATGGTATTAGAAGAGGAGAAGCTGCCCGGTAGGTGGTACGGGTTATAGGTCCAGTGCTTCTTGAATGAGTGGCAAGGTCTCGTGAGCGTACCACTTTGAGGACTGTTCAGGGTATATGTATTTGAATCGCTTTCTTACGGCCTAAGGAAAGAAACATTCATGTTCGAAAACGTGGATAAACGCGTTGTTCATGAATGCGAGAACGGCTCCTGAACAATGGAACGAGTGCCTTCCGTCAATGCCCGCGTCCTGTTATTTCGATGAAGAGGTGTCAATGGAACGTTTTCTGTCACAGTGCGTTGGTGCTTAGCTGTCATTGTTTCGTACATCAGGCCCTCTTCCAATCTGTGATGTCGGGTTGATCAAACAACAACGGTACAACACGCCGCCATGTACTCGCTCTCCCAGCTTGGCTTCGCGGATCGGCGGACTTGAAGTACAAGGTCAACGTGAAGATTGGCGATTTGCCGGTGGCAAGAAACGGTATTGATGGTACGGACATGTGCTGACAAGTGAAGCGAGCTGTAATGGCCTGACGTGTAACACCTGTCAATTGTCAGAGAAGACGCGAGCCACGCGTACCAAGCATCACCGAGTGTCTAAAGCATGAAGGTATCGCAGGAAGACCATGAAAAAAGGGATTCGACTTTCAACATGTTGTGTGATTAGGATATGCTAGAGGACTGAAATACTGTACAGTGAAAGAACAGAATGCGCTCGCTAAAATGATGCGGTAAACAAACAATAACCAAAGGTGGCTCTAAATGAGCTCACTGACTTGCAAAAATATGCAACACAACAGAATGAAAACAACAGGTCTTCAAGCGCCCAGCGCGATGAGCCTGCTCTTGATGTCCGTGGGCCTCATCATCTGGTTGATGACAACACTAGAAATACTGCCCATACTGACGACTGACACGTATCCTGGAGCGACTTCGCTGGCCAAAACCTCAACACACTTCATTGCCTCGTCTTTCGAAATCGGTGATCGGATAGAGCCTTGAATTGCCTGCAGAAGGGTGGTCGTGGAGAAGGAAACACGCGATCCGGGTCTGTTCGCGCACAGTAGGGAGAGGACGCCGATAACTTCTGGAGTGCGTTGTAACGCTGCCTTCCGCTGGAGCTCGGCAGGTGTCGGCGCTGCGGGGCCAGCCTTTGCAGCTTCCTGCTTTGCGAGAATACGATCGAGGAGGTTGGTCTTGCGGACGGCAGCAAATTCGGTGATCTTGGGTTGGGCGGGCTGAGCTTGTTGGTTCTGGCCCATGGGCGTCTCGTTCTCCTTTCCAATAGAAGGTCTTGTCTTCTTCTGTGCACGGCCTTGCTGTACACTCTCCTTGAACTCCCTCAACCTCTTGCGTCCCTTCTCCTGTGCTGGCGCGAGTGCGGTGAGGGACTCGCATGTGGTGACTTCGGCAAGAGGAAGCTGGCTCAAGAACTTGGACATGGAAGTGTCGTCGAGGAACGTGTCCATGCATGCCTGCTTGATATCGGCCTTCTTTGGGCGTCCCCTTCCACGCTTGGGCACCGCAATTGGTCGGCTCATCATCTTCTGCGAGGTGCACCATTGCGTCCAAAGCGTGTCTAGGCCCTCTTTGAACATGTCTTGCAATCCTTCTTCGTTCATGTGTGTCATGCCGTTCATCATCGGACTGCTGTCTTTGATCTCGATGCAGACCTTGCCGCGACCGTAGTCAGACAGGTAGTAGGGGTTGTTGTTGCCGGAAGGGCCATGGTCGAGGATGCCGATGAGGAGCCGGATGTCATCGTACGTAACTTTTCGTTGCCGCCAGACCAATGTCGTTGATGCAATCAGGTCTCGAAGATCGGCAGGCGTTGAAGTGCCATTGTGGGCGTAGTGCAGCGACAGCGCGGTCAGGAAGGAGGAGTGTAACGCGAGGAGGTTGACAAGCTCAGCCGGGAGCTGGCCGGGAGCAATAGGCGACATTGTTGATAGAATAGTGGAATGGATACGACGATGAGATACCTGGAACAATGTCGATAAGTGATGTGTCGTGTAAGTGTGAGGTCGAGGTCCAAAGGAGTGTTTATGGGCCGAGGGGGCTGCAAAACAGGGAAGGCACGTTCGACGCGCTTTACGCTTCTGCGCGTTCGCGTCGCGTTTCCGCCCCACTTTAATGAAACTTGAACGTGTCGTTGCCCCACGCATCCGGCGTACTTCCACCCTCATTTGGCATTAGCATTATTTCCATTCTACTCATGACGCAGCGCGTGCAAAAATTGTCTCGTTCTCGAAGGAGTGGATCACGCAAAAGCAATGCCGTCGCGGCGCGTACCGTCGCCAGGGCTTCTCGCGTCCGTGCAACGAATAGAAGGCAATTGTGAGTATTGTATCGTATTGGGATGAGAAGAACTGCGCCTATATACTCCAATGCTCATGCAAGACCTTCAATAACAAGCTCCAGCTCATCTTGTCACATTATCATTACATTATTAGTCCTCTAGACGTAGAGCTTACTTTCCGCCAAACAGTCCACCGAGCCATGATTGAGTCTTCGCGGCCTTCTCCTCGACAACGGCATCGAACTTGTTGGCGGCCGCGTTGACCTGCTTGCCTGCCTCGTGCATCTCGCGCTCAGCGCGGACCTTGGCCTCCTCGTACTGCTTCTTCGCGTCTGCGCTGTAGGCATCGAACTTCTGCTCCGCCCTCTTCGCTTCCGCCTTGGCTTGGTCGGCCTAGCAGTGGTCAGCATACTGTCACGAGTAACATCAAGTCGCACTGGACATACGTATTGCTGTGCGCTGGCGCGTACTGCCTCGTAACCCTCCTGGCCGGCCTTCTTAGCTTCCTTGTCCTGGCCAGGGTAGTCGCCTCTCAGCTTGCGTGCGGCAGTCGCAGCGTCATCTATACATGTTAGTCAAGATACTATGGAAGTTGAACACCCTCCGGACGTACGTTCAGCCTTCCTCTCGGCAAGCTTCGGGTCGCCTCCAGCGCTGTAGAGGTAGTAGGTGACACCACCAACAGCAGCGAGACCACCGTATGTAGCGAAACGACGAGACATGTTGATGTAATGGGGTTTTTGTGAGGTGGTATTGATTGGACTCGAAGTAAGATCGAGCTATGTGAGATTCGAATTGGAGATGTAGAATCAGAGTTGTGCGAGGGAGGGGAACCTTGGAAGGCGTCTTTCTAACAAGCGCATGTGTGACGTAATGGCAGACAGCTGCAGCACGGGCTTTTCAGTGCCGTGCGAACCAGATCACCAAACTAGGACTCTACCGAGCGCGTCAAGCCGGATCCACATTACCTACACTCGTTGCTTTCGCTTCCACATGTTAATTATAATGTCATCATAGTATTTCTCTTCATCGCATCGTTGTCGCACCTCGATCGTGCCTTCCCAGCGTGCCGTCTCTTGTGCGCGCCCCTTAAACCGTTCACAACAAGCCAGCCTCGAGCGACTGCCTTAGCGACCACCGCGCAGCGTGCCGCGCCTGCCTGACCACAGCGACCTCATGTATCCACGATAGCAACGGCGTTTGCCTCTTACCCTCCTTGACACACCCACCACGCTTGTAGCATGGCGGACCAACAGATAAACCTCGTCGACCATACCAACGGCGACAACACACCGACCTCGGCTACACAACCCGAACAGCGGTCTACCACATCGGACTCGCACATCGATATCCTCTACGAGAACCAACGCGGTTGGTTCGTCTTCGGCATTCCCCTCTTCTCGTCCAAAGCGCTATGGAACCTGCGAATCGACCCTGCGCCGTGGCAGGATGCCAAGTTCAAGCCTTCAGCAGTCAACATCACAAATGCACAAGTCCCGGACCCAAGTTGGGTATGGGACTGGAAGAGCTGGTATGTCGACATGAGTCTGGATGTCGACGAAGAGGGTTGGCAGTACAGCCTGCTCTTCAAGGGTTCAGCGTGGCATGGCAACCACCCGTGGTTCCACAGCTTCGTTCGGCGGCGGCGCTGGCTACGGAGGCGGGTCAAGCAGAGGCTGCCACCCAAGACCAAGAAGAATGCGAAGGAGCGCATGTTTGGCGAGACATTCAGCATCGGCACGACACTGGCTAGATCAGCCACCTTTGGCACTGGCAGCGGTCTGTTGGACGACAGCGCACAGACGAGTCTAGACGAGGAGATTAGGGATATTGCGACGTTGATGAGAAAACTCAAGGCAGCCGCCATTGATCGCGAGAAGATCATTTACATACACAAGTTTATCGACGATGGAGGGGAGGAGCTGCACTACCTCCCAGAACAGGTATGCATGTTGTATTCCCATGCAAACACAGCTAACGAGTTCAGATACCGTCCATCATGTCGATGCTCATCTTCCAGAATTCGCGCCGCCAACTCCTCTCCACACTTATGGACCGCTTCGAGGCCGCCAAAGACCACCGCGAGCAACACAAGAAGGACCACAAGCCTGAAGGCGACGCTGAGGAACGCAGAATCAACAACCTGCTCAAGGCTATTGAAGCCGCGGATAACGAGTGTAAGAAGCTGGAGTATTGGAGCGACATCAAGAATCTTACAGAAGAGGGCAAAGCCGGGAATGCAACAGATCCCAGCATGGGGTGGGACGAAGAGAAGTGGCAGGGACTCGATGCGAGTGGCGCCAAGCATCCTGACACCTAAGTTTGAGAACTTAAGAAGGTTTGGATGCATGCATATATTGGAGTTTGTCAGAGTTCGTGGGGTGCGGCTCTTCAAGGTCAGCACATCGGGTCAAATGGAACGACTAATCAGTTTTCGTATTGTATCGCAACCATACATGCTATCGTCAGCAAGAGTATCCAGCCATACGGTGTTGTATTATCCATTCACATTCCTCACTCTTATCGGCCCTCTGAGATCCGCCAAACTCTCCACGTCCACTACTGCGCCCTTCTGCATTACTTCGACTGCCCCAACCTCTCTCTTCTCCCACACCATCTGTCGTACATCATCCATGGTGTCTCTCCACTCTGACGCGTTCAATGCACACAGCTCCTCTGTTGATAGTGCGCGGGCAATTTCGGAAGGACAGATCGTCTTGGGCCAAGCCCTTGAGCTCAATAGACGGTCGGCATGGCGCGATAGGATGATTCTCTTGGCGTCATCAAGAGCCATATTGTTTGTGCAGCTGGCGAATACTGTGTGCCAGCTAACGGATTCGATGTGCCGATAATGCTTGGGTTGTTTCGCAGCGATATTGGTGAGGCTGCACCGTCTCGATGGTTTCACCCAGATCTGGTTGCTAGACCCATCGCCCGCTGATCGACAACAGGGGTCCAAAGATCCTTAGCCAATCCTTTGACGTCAGAGCGCCCAATCGGCGCGCAGCAGAAGCAAAATAATTCGAGCAATTCAGCGTCGCGTCCCCTCCCTTCCAAAACCGAAACTGCCCGCGGCACTGGGATTGGTGTTTTGCCTTTGCGCGTCGTTTTTTCTTGTCCTGTCATGCCGCACCGGTTACCCCACGCTCTCCGAGAGCTAGTTGCAGCGGGGCAGTCCTTCGCTCCCGCCTCTCGTCTCTTATCAAGCTCAACACCGCTACTGCATACTTCCTCTCCGATATCTTCTCTACTCCATCAGACTTCCCTGCGTACCTGTCATACCGGACGGGCAGCATCCCTCTTGCAAGCATCCAGCCCACAGAGTACTACCGCCAAACGAAACTTCTCCTGGCCCAGAATGACTGGAAAGGAAGAGCCAAAGGAGGTGCGCAAGTACCTGCAGCAGAGCCATGACCGCATCTTTGAAAACAACAAGAAATGGGCCGATGAGATGCGGAACAAGAACCCAGGCTTCTTCAAGGATCTGAGTGCAGGACAAGCACCCGAGTATCTATGGATTGGTGAGTTGCATCTGGAATGACTCAATTGCCCTATAACACTACTCCATTATATCACCCACCACCTAGAACTTGCTAACACAATCTCCACAGGCTGCTCCGACTCGCGGATTCCCGCCGAAGCCATCACCGGTCTCGAGCCCGGCGAGATGTTCATCCACCGCAACATTGCCAACCTCGTCAACAACATCGACCTCAACGTCATGTCCGTCGTCAACTACGCTGTCCGCCACCTCAAAGTTAAGCACATTGTCGTGTGCGGCCACTACGGCTGCGGTGGAGTCAAGGCCGCCATGACACCAAAAGACATGGGTCTGCTGAACCCCTGGCTCCGAAACATCCGCGACGTCTACAGACTGCACCAGAAGGAGCTGGACGATGTCATGGCCAACGGCGGCACAGAGGAGGAGAAGTACGACAAGCTTGTAGAGCTCAACGTGTACGAGCAGTGCCGGAATGTGGTCAAGACGGCGGCTGTGCAGCAGTGTTGGGCTGAGAACGAGTTCCCTGTCGTGCACGGCTGGGTATTTGGATTCGGAGACGGATTGTTGAAGGATCTCAAGTTCGACCACGAGGGCGAGCTTAAGGAAATTCAGAAGATTTACGATTTGACAAAGGACATGTAGATGGCGTCAGTGGGTGTGCGATGTATGAGTAGTTGTCGTGGCATTTAGCGAGGTGTTGGTGTAGAGGAAGTGGAAGAGATGGTGCTGCAACCGGGCTTAGATGCTAACGTAGAGCTAGTTACCTGAATCTCCCCAGTACCTTTGTAGGTACCACATGGGTTTACAGACTAGTTTTGCAGGCTCACGCCTATCTCTCCACGTCTCGTCACCGCAATCAGACTCCAGCGTATTGCGTGTACGAGAACGAGTACGAGTTGGACTGTTTCGCTTACGATGCCTTTCATGCATGCTCTCCAAAGAGAACGACATAACCCGATCCAGGCCCAACTCCACCGTTCCCTCGAACGCGATCACTGATCTCTGCCATTAACCCAACCTGTTGGTAACACCAATCCAGAATCTCGTTCCACCGGCTATCACAGCCCTCGAGCTGACAGGCCAACTCCTCCACAATCCTCTTCCCAGAATATTGCATCCACCACATATCCTCCAAAATACAATTAATCGCTCCCCAACAGGCTAATATAACCAGAGCCGGCACCTGCCCCATATCCGCCTTCTGAAAGAACTCCGGCTCCACGGTACCCAACCAAGGAACCACCGAATGCCCATCACTATCCATATACGCCTTCTCCAATTTCTCCAGGGTACCACGAAAGAACGGCGTCGCAGCATCATCAAGATCCATATTCGCGAGTATAGCATCCGTCAACGCGCGCAGCTTCTCCGCCGTGAACGCCCTGCCCTCATCTCCTACCAACTCAACAACAGGACTGCCAAGTATCTGCTTCAACTCCCCGCTATTAGCCCACACACTATGCTCCTCCACAATCTCCTTCATACCCATCGTATACCTCCTCACACGCATTAGTACCTTGGACACAGATTCCAGCGTCTCACCCGGCGTAGCCGGAATCAGACTCGCGATGAGCGCAACAACAGCATGGAGAGCAGTCATGAGACAAACCGGATCAAGACTCTCTTTCGAAATACAAGCCAGCGACACCTGCTCATTAAGCTCGGATATACTTCTGTTCTGGTAGTGTAGTGCGGCGGCGACGTGGTCGTGGGATGCGGTGGGGGAGGAGGCGAGACTGGCGCTGTGTAGAGAGGTGAAGGCGAGGAGTATGTCGAGTAGGTAGGTGTGTTGCAGCGCTTTGGTTACGGCGTAGTCGCGGAAGACGAGTGCGTTGCGGTGCACGGAGGTGAGGTAGGTGGTTGTGGTCCATTGGTGCATGAGCCGCATTTCGAGCGTTCGGGTCGCATTGTAGGTGGCTAGACGGGAGGATGGGCCGCTGTGGGCATCGTAGAGCGAATACCAGCCGGGTTTGGTTGGTATAGGTGATCGTGGTGGTGATGATGATGATGATGCCGTTGTCAACGCCGTCTTCGCTCTCCTGTTAGACCCAGTCGAAACATTCTGTGTTGGGTAGGTGCATTGTTCTTCTCGTAGAGCACAAGCTCCGCATTTGGGTGTGGCTTCGTCGCATTTGACGCGCCGTCGCTTGCACGTGTCGCATCCAGCCCGTGACTTCCTATGGTATCGTTTCACTGCCATTCGCGCTCAATCTCGGCACTCGCATATTCGTTTTCCTCCTATCGGTAGGTGTGATTTCGTTTGTAAGCTTCCGTGAGCCTGGAGGTTTTTGTAAACGAGAACGACATGGCTTGGACGTGATGCGGGGGCGAGACTTGTTGGTGCCTGGTGCCAAAAGAAAGCCTAATTTAGTAGGTTGACGCTAAAGATGCCGATCAAAGAGGTACTCGTTCTCGTTTACCGGTCCTGCACCGGAAGCTTAACATCCGCCTTGCCGAAGTAGTTATGCTCCAGAAGGACAAGGCAGGATTACTAGCGATTGCATCGCGCTTTATTCGTTTTCGTTTGCCCTGATGGACCACCATCTCGCGAGGTCGGCTATGCCGCCATTGCCATCATAGTGGGATTGGCAGGGCGTTGACGAACCGCCTCCCATCACAGCTAACGAAACATGTCGTATATAAGTAATGTTGTCGCAGGCACCATTCTGCTGTACACCTTGAGCGAGTCACCACCTTTTTCAACATCAAATCCCTATCTCGCACAAACCGTGTCTTTTCTTGAACAAGATGTATTCGGCATTAGGTATGTTGAGTCCGATCCAATCGATATGATATCTGTTTCTCACAGCCCGAACAGCGCACGGATTGGCTTGTTCAAGCCTTGCCCAACCCTACCTCGATGGCACGGCAATCACGAAGTTCACTGCGGAGCCCAAGACACAATGGACACCAGAAGGCTCGCCAATCCCAGCCGAACAACTTGTGCCGCTTCTTGGAGTTTCATCGTACAATATCTCCTACTGCCGTGTAGAGATGGCCTACACCCATCCAGGTCAGAACGACACGGTCAACCTCCAGATATGGTTGCCGGAGCAGTGGAACGGACGCTTCAATGGTGTGGGAGGCGGCGGCTGGCGCGCTGGTGTTTTCGATCAGAGCTTACTGCCGGCCATTATCCAGGGATATGCGGCAGCTTCCACTGACGGTGGCCACAATGCAACCGAAGTCTCCGCTCTTCCTTGGGCGCTCAAGTCTCCGGGTAACGTCGACGTGGTTGCTTTACAGAACTTCGGCTCTGTGACTTTGAACGAGCTCTCTATATTCGGGAAGATGGTTACCGAGAGCTTCTATCAGAAGGCTCCCGCTTACTCTTAGTACGTATGACCCTGACATTGTGATGTTACTCGCGGTCAATGCTTCATCGTGTGTCTGTGACGAACAGTGGCTAACAACCGACATAGCTGGACTGGGTGTTCCCAGGGTGGTAGACAAGGCATGATGCTGGCTCAACGTTACCCTGAAGCGTTTGACGGTATTATCGCTGCAGCACCCGCACTGAACATCATCCCACTCTTGGCCAGCTTGTTCCATGCTCAAGCTGTAATGAACACGCTCGGCGAATACCCGCCCAATTGCGAGTTCGAAGCGATTGGGGCCGCCGCGATCGCCGCTTGCGATGAACTGGACGGCGTCAAAGACTCGATCATATCCATCCCGGAGTTGTGTTCTTTCGACCCTTTCACCGTTGTCGGACAGCCCGCCAACTGCGGCAATAGCAGCTCGAATGTCATCTCCAACGCAACAGCAACGGTAGCCAACGCTACATGGTATGGTGTCTCCGACAGACGGGGAAAGAA